CTCTAGCTTGTGTGCATTAGTGAAGCTAACGATTGCTGGATCATTGATAATAACAGCGGACTTCAACTCCCAGAATTCCCTAGCCAGCATGCTGGCTGGGAATTCTGGGAGTTGAAGTCCACGCATCTTCAAATTGCCGAGGTTGAGAAACACTAGTTTAGGGAAAGGATTCTCCTAGGTAATGTATTTCCGAAACTTGTATAGTGTGTATGTGCTAAGCATCCATATGTGATATTTAGAAAATAATGTAATTGCTGTGAAGACCATAGATTAGAACAGTAATTATTACAACATCCTTATTGACAAGATGATGAACAGTGCACAGGATCAGCAAATATTTTTTCTTGCTATAAGTGTTTACGATTTTTCAGAACATACATACTTTATTAGAAATAATGTGGTCAGTTCTCATACATGCAAATGTTGTGTTGTTGCTTATATTGAAATGTGCCATTATTTTCTGTTACAAATCCCACTAGGGTATTTATGTGAAAATTAAGTGCATTTAAAATAGCAGGATTCTTGATTTTGGTTTGACAGCATGGCAATAAGAAAACTTGCAATGCTGCAAATGAAACTTGATTTTCTCACAGATTCTTGGCGGAAGGTATAACCGAGTGCTCCATCAGGACAGCCTAATCCGGCAAAAGCGAGAATGGATTGTCCCACCTTCCATGATCTGGGAAGAGCGTGACAATTCCCAGAAGAATCCAATTGCTAAAGTAAGTCAGGCTTGGAAACAAATATGTCTTTAGTTTTGCCCTTAATAGTCTCCCGCAACCTGGGCTCGAGTTTCAATCCTATCAAGCGTGGAAGGTGCCAGACTGAGTAAGATGACCATATAATATCAGTTAGGTTTATCATTGGGAAAAAAAAAATGAAATGGCAACAATTGTTACTTAGTAAAGCTAAATTATAATGCAGTGGTCTTGTTAAAGGATTTAATATATTTCCTTTTTCTCCCCTCCCAGACAAAATTGAGGATTAGCTAAAAGAGTTCTGCCTGCCTCTATGAAAATTGCTTTAGAAATTTAATTATACTCAGCCAGATCCTGTGTAGTGGAGCACAGGAGAACATCATTACAAAGATAAATTTATACTATTCTGCTTCATTTGAGATTTTCTGTTCTGGTGCACATGCAAAAAGGAGGTCCTATGAGACTCTTTCCTTTCTCCACTTAGTATTGTGGGGAGCCTTTTCCACATATAACGGTCTGTATGTTGGAGGATGAGCTGTGACTTTTGTCTACTTTGTTTTAAATTTCTGCATTTTCTTAAATTTAATAATTTAATTTAATAAATTAAAATAATTTAATAATTTAAATAAAATAATTTTCTTAAAGTATTGACTACTTTAAATTTATAGAGGCTGGTTCATACAAACACTTAACTTGGTTACTGAATTAAGCCACTTTTTTTGGATTTATACAGTTCATTGATTCAATAACTAAATAGGCCACATCCAGAGCAGTGCAAACCACTTCATCCAGAAGATTTACATTCAGGAAATTGCTGGACCAGCCTTGAAGCAGATTGATTGGAATGGTCCAGAGGAAAAACCAAATGTACTAGAGTTTCCCAGAAAGTTATATCCTCAGAACAAAATGTTTTGCATATCTTTACTTAACAGCTAGGAAAACTGAAATAACATAAAAGTTCATCTTTCTTTTTTAAAAAATTAAAACATATTTTGTATTAAGTTTCAGAGACAAACTCAGTAAATATTGTTTCTCTTCTCCTATTTTGTATAGATACGGTCTGACAAAGATGTTGAACCAGGAGTAATTATTACTTACACCATTTCTGGCCAAGGAGTCACAGAACCACCATATCATTTGTTTGTGATTAATGGGAAAACTGGAGAACTGAACATAACTGGAATAGTCGATCGGGAACAAACACCAATGTTACATGTAAGTGGATGAAGCTCTGTCTCTCTTTAGTAATTAGATTCATGTCAGTTGACAACTCTTGATTTTTACTATATTTACAGCAATTGGTTTTTCTTAACCTGCTTATGGAAAAGAGTGAGCAGTATAATTCAGTGATATGGTTATTTTTATTTTCCTGTTTATCATTAATGAAATTAACCATGTGGATGACGTGTTAATATTTTTTCAGCTGAAAGGCTATGCACTGAATCAAAAAGGTGAAAACCTGGAAAGGCCACTGGATCTGCGGATTAAAGTTCTGGATATAAATGACAATAACCCAGTATTTTCGCAGGCAGTTTTTATGGGTTCTGTTGAAGAACTGTGTGATGTAGGTAAGTCCTAGACTTTTATTTACATTTTCATTCTTACTCAGTATGAATTCTCATTCATACTCTTTTCTCTGTACAGTTGTATTCAATCCATTCCTTCCTTCCTATAGCCTCTGTGTCCTTGTCACAAATGAGTATTTCACTGATTTCAGCATCCAGGGTTATAGTATTGCAAGAGAGTAGAAATATCACACACTTCTATTTTATAGTATTGCTGGGGTGGGGCATTAGAAAACATAGTTTCTTGTAAAACTCTTACTTTTCTTAGGTACTCTCATGCTGAAGATAAATGCAACTGATGCAGATAAGCCCAATACGCTCAACTCCAAAATTGAATAGTTGAGAAGCAGTGCTTGACTGGCAGCCAAAATATTAGGTCCAGTACCCCAAAAAATCCTGTTTTCAGTTTTATGTTACTTTCTAAAGAATAGGATATTAAGGAATAGAGAATACATGTGCCTTATTCCTTAACCTTGTGCTCCTTACTATGTAGTAATTAAAAAGGCAAAATCTTGTAGACTATAAAATAGCACATTGCAGGTAGAATCGTAACAGACTGAGGATAGGGGCTGAGCTAAGTTTGTGCTTAGGGTAAATGTTTTATGGTGATGCCTTTATCAGGACCTCCGCTCTCATTGGGATGACATAATTATACCTTCCCTTTCCATTTATTTAATGAACCTATTCTGCCTCTGATGCCATTGTTTGTTTGGGTTTACGTATTCTGCTTTTCATTTAGGAGTTTGAGGTGGCATACATTGCGGCAATACCCTTCCAGTATTCAGAGGCTGAGATTCCATTGGATTAGTTTGCTCCCATATGCCTTCAAGAATGATGTGCCCATGATGTTAAAAGCAGGACAGTTGCAATGTCAGGAAGGAAGTGTGCACTCTTGGTCATTGTCATCTGTTAAGAATATACACTTGTAAAACCCTTACTTTTCTTAGGTACTCTTGTGCTGAAGATAAATGCAACTGATGCAGATGAGCCCAATACGCTCAACTCCAAAATTGCTTTTAGGATTATTTCACAAGAACCTAGTAACCCTCCTGCATTTGTAATTAACAAAGCAACAGGTGAAGTTCGAAGTGCAATATTCCAGCTTGACAGAGAGGTATTTTTTCTCTCTCAATATATTTTAATGGTTTCTTATTTATCTAGTTTCTTATTTACTTAGTAGAAGTGTAATATATATTTTTAATATATTCTGCAAAACACTGGCTTGCATCCAGGGTGACTGAATTGAAAGGGTTCCTTCCATTTATGGAAGATAGTACGGTCTCATGGAGATTCCTTATGAAATAAGGGAGGGAGAACCAATCTCCACCAATTTCCCTTCATCTCTGTGTCACTTCTCTTGCTGGCCTGGAACATCTTCCAGTTCCATGGAATAGTTTTTCAGGAGGTTGGGTGTGCTGCAGGTAGAAGGAGAAATCACAGTTGCCTTCTTGGTCATTCCCAGTAAGCTAAACATCACTCACTATTTCTTTGGATCCAGCCTGGAGAATCTAAGATTTTAGTCCTAATTGTGATTTAAAAAAAAAAAAGAATTATATTGTCTTTCTTCTTACCTTAAGTTTACAAATAAATAATTAAAAGATACAGAAATTGTTAAACAGATCCAACATTTTAATATTCTAAAGTAATAACAGTTCACAATGAGTGGCAAGCAATTAACAATAGTAAAATGTCATCATTAATAAAAGCTTAGTTTGATATGATTCACTTAGCCAAATTTAAAGAGGACTTGTTTGATATTTATGTAATGATCCAGACCCAATTGATCTTTGAACCTCAACTTTGAAGCTCAACATGTATACCTGAAACGGGGGCAGGGGGTCTTCCCCGTAAGACCTGGAGCACATTTTGACTGGATTTGTAGACCACTAGGTGGCCTAAAGTGATAATTTGTTAGTCATTGGTATATGAATTTAATAAATAAAATATCTATTTATGGCATATATGCACACACACACACACACACACACACAATTGAATATTTGAGTATTTTTCCAAAGCCTTGTTTCACTTTAGCTAGATCTGAACTCTTATGAGTTCACTGAACTTTTATGAAATATTTATACATAGTGGAGGTGCTGTCTTTTTATGATAAGGCTTGTATTATCACTCTCCCACAAAGTCACAATATGGTTGTGAACCTTTTTGATTTTGGAGGGTTAGGAAGAGAAAATGTCCTTGTCTTCTGATAAGGACCATAACGTGTAAATGGCTTATCTCTTTGCAACTTGTTTTTATGGCCTTCTGCGTTCCTGTCTTCTGCTTTCCACTACTTCAGAATACTTGGCTTACTTCTACTCCCAGGCACCATGATTCTTTCTGTTTCTACCTTGTACCAGCAAGAAGGAGGTGTTAAGTTTCTGCACTCCCCACCACCGTAAGCTTTCAAAAAAAGAGTGGAGAAGTGTGGCCTCCAAATGTGGCCAGAAGTTACAAATACTGGTAGTTGTAGTTCAGCAATCTCTGGGATGTTATTGTGTCCCCACTCTCTCTTTAAGGTTTCCCAGGTTGGGGCACAATTCTCTTTCAGCTATAAGTGGTGGCATTAAACCTTTCACTGTTTTTGTATTTTCTAACTTTCATGCTATTTGACTGCTCTGCAGGTACAAAGTAGTTATTCTTTGGTTGTGGAAGCAAGAGACCGTGATGGAGATTCAAATGGGAATGGTCAAGAGACCACTGTACAGATCAAGATTCTGGACGTTAATGACAATATCCCAGTCCTTGAAAAGGCTGTGGTGAGTAAAAACTGTGCCAGCTATTATATGGATAGTTTTTTCCCAGTTATGATCAGAAAGATGTGTTATTTTAAAAGGCTTGTTTATTTACAGTATGAAGGAAGTGTAAAGGAAAATATAGCTAACGTGGAAATCATGCGCCTGAAAGTCTTTGATCGAGATGAACAATTTACTGATAACTGGCTGGCAAACTTCATGATTGTGTCTGGTAATGAAGGAGGCTATTTCCGTATAGAAACAGATTCACAAACCAACGAAGGAATTCTCACTCTGATTAAGGTTTGTAGATGCGGAAAGGCAGTATGCTTGCTACATTGGCCTCAATCCAGTGATGGTACCTAGCAAAAGAAGAGCAGCAATGAGAGCATATAGCCCAATGGCAAGCTGATCTGATCTGTATGAGTATTCTGCACTGATCACTATAATCTCATTTTAACCATATCTCTGTCCTATGTTCCAATGTGATGAGATTTTACAGTATTTTATAGGATGGTAGGATGGTTCGCACATAGAACAGCTGTATTCTGCATGCCTACCTACAACACATACCCACAAACAGCATCCATATAGTTCAGATTCTCATATTTCATGATAATTTAGACAGTTCATTTTCTATTCCAGAAATTACATTACAATTCTTGTTTTATCTTAAAACTGTGGGATAATACATCGTCAGTTTTTATATAACTGTAGGAAGCTGAGACATTTAAAAAGGGGTTGGGAACTGTTTCAGCCCCTGTTATAGATTATTTAGGCCTGAGAACAAGGTGGATAGAGCTTCCTAACTCAGTTGCTTGATGTTTTTTAACATAGGATCTTCTTCGTATGCTCTGTTCTCTTCTGTGCCTGCATCTCAGTCTGATACAATGACATGAAAACTCAAGAGCCTTTTCTGCTCTTCATTATATTGACAGGACTCTTGACTCTGAGTGGATTTTCATGTGTAATTCAAATAATATTAAGGTTACAATAGTAAACCTCTCCCAAGAATCCAGAAAGATATGCAAGTGGGTTAATTGCAATTACATTCTAAGTTATGACTTTTTTCATTCTCCCTGCAGGAAATAAATTACGAAGAATTGAAGACACTTGACCTGAAGATAGTTGTTTCTAACAAAGCAGCATATCACAAATCAATTATTAGTCAGGGTTACCAAGCAAAACCAGTTCCTATTAGAATTAAAGTGGAAAATGTGAGGGAAGGCCCCATATTTAAGCCCCAAACTTTAGTGATTCAAACAAGTGAAATAATGAAAATAAACCAGCTTATTGGAAGCTTTCAAGCTTATGATGAAGATACTGGAAAAATAGCAGAATACATCACGTAAGTTATTTATTTATTTATTTATTTAATTAATTAATCTGTATGCTGCTCGACTACCAATGACTCTGGGTGGCTCACAAGAATCAAAACAAAATTATAATAAAACCAATTAAAGGGAAGGGGGAAAAAAGATAAAAGATGGTAAGAATGACAGACCAGATAGAAATAGCACAAAGGGTCTCACTCCCCCTCGCCAAAGGCCTGGGTGAAGAGCCACATCTTCACGCTCTTCTAAACAACAGCAGAATGGGAACCATCCAGATCTCAGGGGGAACCTCATTCCAGAGGGCGGGTGCTGCTACACAGAAGGCATGCTTCTAGGGTCCTGAGAGATGACATTGTTTAATCAAAGTATTATCAAGTAACCCAGTGATAATCAACTGATTCCAAATGAAGATAAAACATAGGGGAACTGTGCTGAATCAGACCAAAGGCTTGCTTAGTTGAGCTTTTAGTTCTTACAATAGTTTATAAGATGTCTCTAGGAAACTCACAAGCAAGATGCGAGTACAGTAACACCCCTCCTGCTTACATTCCAGAGCAGTGAGTATTGAGTGGCACAGTGCCTCTGATACCAGAAGTACTGTTACCCTGGTACATAACCACTGATAGCCTTATCCTCCATAAAGCTCTCTAATCCTATCTTGATGAATGACTACACTGTATGATGGCAAATTCAGCAAAGCTGAATCTCCCACCATTCAGCTTCATTGATAATTACTGCATTTTAGAGTTATTGAAGAAGGAGAAAATTCTGTCCCTGTGTGCTTTCAACATACTAAACATAATTTCCCCAGTATCATGTTCTATCCTTGCTCATCCTTTTCTTTTAAGTTGAAAAGAGGGGTGCAATTTATCCCTTATGCTTCCCGGTGCTTTTTGTTTCAAATGTCTTTGCAGTGACAGCTTTGGATAATAAACATGCAGTATCAATATGATGTAGGTATATGATGGCTCTCCAGCACTAATGGCATACTGGAAAATTTAATGCTCGCATGTCATTTTAAAGGGTGGTTCTACCCATTGTTTTTTGAGCAAACTAGAGTTAGTACAAAAGAACAAAGCAGAAATGGATTGTTGGGCCAACTTCTGGTTGGTTTCCCCTTTTAGCTATTCTTGTCATGTACCTCTGTGGATTGGTTAGAGATTTGAACAGGGCACAATACCAACTAGAAACACACCAAGAAACTACAATCAAACTCTTCATTTATGCATTACGCTTAAGGCATGGTTTTAATCAGAAAGCCAATAGCAAGCATTAGTTTTGGTGTGTGAATTTACTACTGTGTTTTCATGTCAGACAAAAACAAGGTCATTGTACCTTAGTGCAGTTTGTGAACCCAATCAGTGTGTAAGCAAAATAAATGGCATGAATTCACTTTTTTATTGTATGAACCCAGAATGTCATCATTTTTGGAAATAACTACGATAGCTTTAAAAAAAAATGTGTGATTTCCTTCAGAAAGAGATTCCTGTGTTATCTTCTGCTATTTTTCTGTGCAGTGTCATGGCTTTTTTAAAAGAAGTATGAAGCAACCTTGAGCTGTTGGAGGAAAAATGGGAAAACAAATGGGGAAAAAATTGTCATATTCTGGAACAAACAGCCCCATGTATTCACTTTCTGAAGTATTTGTGGCCTAGAACGTTAAATCTATTTCAGAAAATCGTCACCATGAAGCTATTAAGTTGCCTTGCACTTGGCTGGAATTAAACTATATACAACTTTGGAGAAGTAAATTTCATCTTTGTTTGGATCAGTGGAGTTTGATTGTGTGACAAATTGCTCTGCCTGATAACACAACAATAAACAACTCTGAAAACCCCAAAAGAAAGGATAAATGTATTGAAATTTGACTGTTGTTTATTAACTATAAATAGAAATATTGTGTGTACAGTAGATGTTTAAAAAGTTTGTGTGTCTCCTCAGAAATACATATTTAAGTATGTATGCTTAGTCTCAAGTTTGTATGCTTCTTTTCACATAAGTTTAAAATTTACACAGGTATGCCAAAGGTACTGATATTGCAAACTGGTTGATAGTAAATTCCAAAACAGCTGAAATCAGACTGCTTAAAGTCCCAGACTATGAATCACCATATGTCATCAATGGTACTTATACTGCAACAATTTTGGCCATAACTACTGGTAAGTAGTGAATATTTTATTTGTTGTACCTTATAATTATTATTAATTGCCAAAAGTTGTAAGATCTGGTGGGATACACATTTAATAAATAATTAAGCAACATTCTTCCCATTCTTCCTTGAGAATGATCAGCATGTCACTCTAGCCAAATTCACATTTCATTTTTATTAAATCCCAGAACCCACCCAAACTGCCTGCCATATATAGTTAGAAAGCAAGTAGGAGACAAAACTTTTTAATAATCTGTAGTAGCCTACTTTTCTCTTTTCGTTTTTCTTTTTTGGGTGGTTTGTAACACATAAAGCTTTGGAAAAATGCCAGTGAGTGGCATAGAGAAAAGCATGAAAAAACTGAATATTCCTACTGTGAAGAAATTGGTGTTGGTCTTAATTTCCTCAAACTACAGCCAAACTAGTGGTCTAGGATTGTGTTTAGATGAATGGGTAGGATTGAGATTATACAACATTTAAAGATCTTGTCATGCCAGCCAGAAATGTGCTCATTTTTGCATCAAGATTAGGTTCCGGTAACCCAGAACAACTGCAGATTAGTTTTGAGTATCGTATTTTTCTGTCAATAAGACGCCCCCATGTACAAGACGACCCCCACTTTTCCAACCCAAAATTAAGAAATCAATATTTTAAAGATACTGCAGAACACATTTTTATTTAGTAATTAAGTAACATTTACCTGATACACTCGGTGGGAGGAGGTCCAAACCGTCTCTCTGCAACTCTATTTCCACGCTCTATTAAGAAATCAATATTTTAAAGATACTGCAGAACACATTTTTATTTAGTAATTAAGTAACATTTACCTGATACACTCGGTGGGAGGAGGTCCAAACCGTCTCTCTGCAACTCTATTTCCACGCTCTTTTACATAACTGATTACATTCAAGCACGAGTGAAACTGCCCATACTTTGTCTCTGCAAACAGACTTCCTCTAATTGGTTTGTTCAGCATCAGCTGACGTCAGTTACATCGGGCTCGTGATCGGGGGAGGTCTGTTTGGGATACAAGCTATTTCACTTGTGATTGGAGGCTAGCAATAGAAGGAAGCCTCTCTG